GGCACACACTTCATCAATCGAGTAATTGATGTACTTATGAGGAAGCATGGAGTGAATCATAGAATTGCCACGGGTTATCATCCGCAAACGAACGGACAAGAGGAAGTTTCAAACCGAGAAATCAAGATGATTCTTGAGAAAATAGTTAAGCCAAATCGCAAGGATTGGAGCTTGAAATTGATTGACGCTCTATGGGCTTATCAGACTGCATACAAATGACCTATTGGCATGTCACCATACCGCCTTGTGTTTGGTAAGCCGTGCCATTTACCTGTCGAGTTAGAACACAAGGCATATTGGGCCGTAAAACAGTGCAATATGGAGCTAGAAGCGGTTGGCGAAACACGGAAGTTACATATACAAGAGCTTGAGGAAATTCGGATAGATGCTTACGACAACGCAAAAATATATAAGGACAAAACAAAAGAATTTCATGATCAAAAAATTGTTTCTAAATCTTTTTCTATCGTACAAAAAGTTCTTCTTTTTAACTCAAAATTAAAACTTTTTGCAGGTAAACTTCGGTCAAAATGGAACGGACCTTATACAGTAACTGGAATATTTCCTCATGGTGCAGTCGAAATTGAAGATAATTCGGGCACTCGGTTTAAAGTCAATGGACACAGGGTTAAGCCATATTATGCGAATAGCGAAGTTTGTTTAATTGAAGATCTCAGCTTGGAAGAACCTGTAGTCTGAATCAGGTCGTCGAGCTAACAACGTTAAATAAAGCGCTTCATGGGAGGCAACCCATTATTTTCCGTTAAATTTTTATTTTTATTTTTTATTTTTGTTCGACCAGGCGTGTTTAATTTATTTTTTTTATTTTTATTTTGCAGAAACTGAATATTTTTATTCGAACTTAAACGACGAAGAGTTGCAAAATTTCCATTCGAAAAGTTCTAAACCCGGAACTTACAATGCACGATCGAGCAGAGAGGGAACAAAAAAAGAGAAGCCTGTGCGCGCCGTTTAATTAACGGCGCATGTTAGCAGAACCCAAGGGGGGGCTCAGCGCACGTTAGCGAAACCAAAATATTTCTTTCCCCCCCTTTTGATGATTCTGCCGCCCACCTTATCCTCTCCCCCAATTTGATATTGTGTGGACCCCAATCTATCACCATCTATCCATTTTTTTTTTCAAATTTCAAACACTTTATCATTAAACAAATTAAACCCATTTTGACTCAAACTCATCTCCCATGCACGGCAGTATCGACTTCATCCCAAGTCACATAAACTTCATCTCCTTATCATCTCTTACTCGATAACCCCCCAAACGCACGACTCCTCCTTATCATCGCCGGTGGCTACGACACACCACGCTTCTCCTTATCCCGCTATGGTACGCACGCGAAATCGACTCGATGCCACCGACGCTCCGCCTCCCACCATACTTGGAGCACGACGCCGCTCAAACGCCCCGGCGTTCGTCGAGGTACCAAGCGACTCCGATTCCCAACTGCCGCAACCCCCGGTTCGATCAACACAAAGTTATGGCCCGGCTCTGATATCGCCATACCATTCGACATTTGTGCCGACCGCCTCCTTCCGTCCCGGTCCAAGCACATCTCGTCGCCCATCCCCTCTACGATCTCCATCTTCGTCGTTTCACTCCATGCCAACTGAGGCAACGTCATCTCGCTCACGACGGACAGCATTCCCGTCATACTTGATGCACTCGGCGACATCAGATAATGCTCTCGAGATGCTTTAGATGAGCGTTGCTTGGATTTCATGGGCCTACTTGCCGGAACCCCAACTGCACCTTACTTCATTCCACCAGGTGTCTTCACTCCTCGCAGCGAGCACGTCTTCACTCGTCGACACGCACCAGCACCGCCTCCTGCAGTACCACGCCAAGATATGTAGTCACAAATGGTTGAAGTCCACGACCGCCTCCACTCTATCGAGACAAACATCACAGAAATTCTCTCATACCTCCGTCCTAGCACCTCTCATCACCGCCGAGGCCGTGGTCGCGGTCGACACTAGATCAGGGGAGTACTCTATTCCTTCTCTTGTATTTTAATTTTTCGTTTTGAGGCAAAACGCTTTAAGTGAGGGGGAGTAGAGTGTAGGATTGAATTTCCTTTCGTTTGTCTTTATGCTTTGAATCTAGTATGTGTTGGTTGAATTGGTCGGAAATTTCATTGATTGTCTTTGTCTTGGTGAAAATTTTTGGAATGCTATGCTTGTTTGGGAACACATGATTATTTAGGTTATGATATTCTTGATAATGGATAGCATGGATTGTGATAAGTTGGTATTTTTGTGATATTCCATGATTTTGTTGGTTGAAATATGATTAGCTCAATGCATGAAAACAATTTGGTGAGATTTGAGCCTTTACGAGCATATCATTTTCGCTCTCATTTTGTTTGATTGAGTGTGTCGAATTTGACATTGGCATTCTAGAACATGTATGTTAAATACTGTCGAGATTACACATGAACATGATGCTTAAAAATGATTTAGGCACCTTAGGATTAACCATTCCGTTTCCCCACTAAATAGCCTACCCATGCATATTTTCCCTTAGTTAACCACTTTTGAGTCTATTTCCATTTCTATGTTTCCACCATATTCATAAACCCAAGCCTTTTTATTTTATCCCTATTTTCTACCTTTTTTAGGGCAAGTGAATAATTTTACCATTGTATTCTCCATCACAAAAAATGTTGAAAAAAATAGCAGTTCAAAAAAAACTGTTCGAAAGAAAAAGAAAAAAAAATACATGAAATAAAAAATGGAAAACAAAACAACAAAAGTGTGAAAAAGAAAAAATGCATTTCGACGAGAAAATTGTTGTTTGATATGTCGTCTTTTTATCTTGTTGTGCTTAATGTTTTGATGGAGTTGAGATTATTATTTGTTAGTTCCTTGCCTTGAATTTTAGCCATATATTTAGCCTTTTCCCCACCTTTACCTAAGCCACGTTACAACCAATAAAAGACCCTTTGATTTATGCATCTTGTTCTTATTAGTAGTGGAGATTTGATTTACTTGTAGGCTTATGGTAATGTCGTGTCGATTCTGACATTGAGCGTTTCTTTACCCCAAATACATTGAGTGATTTGAGTGAATCCCGGTAAGGTATTGAGTTATGAGCATTGAGATTTATGAATGAATGGATATTACAATTGCACTTGACTTGTTTCAATTGGTGATGTTCAGTTGATTGATTTCTTGACTTTAATAGTTATTGTGGTCTCTACCTTGCATCCTTGAATATGAAACTTGACAAAGAACGTTTAATGAAGTTTTTGACTGATTTGGTTAATCATACTTGAGGACAAGCATAAGATAAGTGAGGGGGAATTTGATGAGTGTTCAGAATCGTTAATATCTGTTCGTTATTTCTTCAATTTTGTGAAGTTATTGCTGCTGATTTGGTTGTGTTATGTCTATTTTCGTGCAAGTCCTTACTTTCCAGAATTGGTGATAAAACGGGCGAATTCTGCATTTTTTTTATTATTTGGTCACGGCTAGAGACATGGGCATGACTCTGGGCACGACGCGGTCTGACGTGGCAGTTTCTAGAAGGTCCAGTCAGCGACGGTTTCTAGAAGACTTCGTCTGCACGCCTTCTGGAAGATTGACGAGCAGAGTTGCATTAGGAGACTAGTTTAAGTTTGAATTTAAATTTAAAAACAATTATCTTTTGTATTTTATTATTTTCTTTGTTTATCCTTTAGGCTTTGAGAGGCTATAAATACCCACTTGGGGTAAGCCTAAACTCATCATTCGGAATACATTCTTCTTTTCTCTCTAGTTTTTATAAAAGCTTTTCTTTTTACTTTTCAAGTTCTTTTCATTTTTCTTATTTTCAAGTTTTGTTTTTATGCTAAGTATGACTTTTGTCATGCTTAGCTAAACTTTTCATAAGCCGAGAGCTGTCGCGATGATTCAATTCCAACGGGAGAATTGAAATGGTCCCTTAATATCTTCAGAATATCTCTCTCAATCTCTGCGCTTATTTTTCAAAATCAAAACAGTTTTCAAAATCAAATATTGACTTTGGTCAAGTGGTTGTTGCGATTAAACGTGTGGGAGGAAGATTCGACTTATAGAAAGCAATTCAACTTCTTGGGAACACACTTGGCGAGATAGCTTCGCCAAGAGGGATTTGAGATCGGAATTGACGGTTATAGAAGTAACAATCCGAGTCGGACGCCACGAACTTAAACGGTAATTGATCTACAACAATTGATGTTGTTAGAATCAATTACTGAAGCCGGAATCAAAGATTGCCTTGGGTATTCGGTATACAAGATAGAGTCACAAGGATAGCCCTTGTAGACAAAGTAACCGACGTGAATCCCGAAGAGAAAATCTTATTCGATGATCTACGGAAATTGAGTCAAAGCGAAGCTTGAGGCTATTTTCACAGTATTTATTCACAACCTTATTTCTCCTATTTTTACTTCAATTGCTTTATTTAATCGTCTTTATTACTATTTAAATCTCATTCTACCCAAAACCCCCCATTCTACTATCTTTCACGCTTGCCATAGACCAATCTAACATTAAATTAAGAATTTTCCAAGTCCCTGTGGATTCGACCCTACTTCTCTCGCTACGAATTTTCCTTTAATTATTATCCGAGAAGAAGGAATTTATTTTGACATCAAAACGACAGTTTTCAATCCTATTGATGGCGATAATATTATGCTTCATAACAGCACCATTATTTCAGTCCACTTTTCTGGAAATATTAGAATTTTCTCTCGACTGGTTCTTAGGGATGTTTTATACATTCCAAATTTTAGCTTTAATCTCATTGTTGTAAGTTGTATATTGAAATATTCTGATATTCTTGTTTTATTTTCAGATCATTGTTTAATTCAAGACCCTTGGCAAGTGATTGGGAAGGGTGAGCTTTATCAATGCCTATTTTTGCTTTAATCTTCAACACATCTCGATTTTCTACAACCATGGTTAATAGCACAAATTTTGCTCATATTTTTTGGCATGATCGTCTTGGTCATCTATCATGGTGGAAGGAGAAGGGAGAGAAAACGAGGAAGAATTGGGGGAAGAATTGCAAATCTTAGGGATTGAGCAAGAGAAATTAAGGATTAAAGCACGTGAGAAAGGGGCTAATGATTTACCTGAAGTGGAGCAGGCTGATTCATATCATATGATGTTGGAGCCGGCCCAAGAAGAATGAAGGCAGCCCAAGTCAGCTAGTCCAGTATCTACAGAAGAAGACAAAGCATTAGGGGTTGTTATATTTTGTTAGAAAGGACAGCCAGCTGGCAATCCTTCTGTTAGCATTATAACTAAATAAATTGGCTGAGTGAATATTTTCCAGTATGTTATGAATGAACAATCATTTTCTTCTCTGAATTCTCTCTAATTTCTCTCTATTCCTATTACCTATTTCTCACTTTCTCTTCTAAATCATCTAAAACCATAACAATTGGTATCGAAAGCCTCGGTTCTGGCAAGTAAATCAGGAGCATGACAAAGAAAAATCAGAGTATGGAAGCTGATTTATCTGGGTTACAGAAGCAGATGGAGGAACTAACAGCCTTGGTGAAATAAGGCCGCGATGAGACTAATCCACCGAAATGGTGGGAGACTCAGGAAAACAGGATTGCTGCAATAGAGACAAGAATGTCCACTAATCAAGGTTATGTGGAGGAGCTGTTGAAGATTTTAACAGGCAGAAATGGTGAGAAAGAGCAGTCTGCAGGTGATCAGGTAAACTCCTAATAACTCTAAAGATGGGGAGAAAAATCCTGTTTTGGTGATTGTAGTGAAGGATAAATCAAGATTCACCTATAAAACTGATGAACCAGGGATATTAAAAGATAAGCCTGATGCTTGTTTAGCCCTTAAGAACGGTTCTAGGCATGAAAATCAAATGGGTGAAAACAGTAATAGCAGACCTATTATGCTGGGATTGGAAGCTGAAAACAGGGGACCAAGGGGTTCTTTGTGGCATAGACCTAAAGTTGAGTTGCCATTTTTTGAAGAGATAAATCCTAGGGGGTGGCTTCAGAAGTGTTTGAAGTATTTTTCTTTATGCAATGTTCATATGGATCAGAGGGTGGAAGTGGCTACTATGTATCTTCAAGGAAAAGCAGAAATATGGTTTGATGGCTATATTATGCAGAAGCATCATGTAACTTGGCATGAGTTTGAAGCTGACTTGTGCCATAGATTTAGTGATAGGTCTTTTTCTGACATTGTGGGGAATTCACTTAGCTTACTCAGAAGGATCTGTTGAGACTATCAAGAAGGTTTGAGGAGCTACAACCACACATGTTATTACAGAATCCTACTTTGAGTGAGGACTTCTTTGTGTCACTTTTTATAAGTGGACTTAGGGAAGACATCAAACATAGAGTAAAAGCTTTAGATCCTAAAAATTTGTTTGTGGCATGCAAACAAGCTAAGCTCTATGAGTTATCTGTGGAGTTTGAAAACAGAAAGTTGAGACCTTCCTTTAAAGTCCCACCCTACCCAAACCCTATTACTAATTCCAAGACAAATTCAATGCCACTACCTATTAATCCACACCAATTTCTAATCCTAACAGAATCTCATTGATTACAGAAGGCAAAATAACCTTTGTTTTAAGTGTGGTGACAAATTTTAGCCTGGCCATCAGTGTAAGACAAGAAATTTGAATATGATGATTGAAGAGGAGAATATTATTCCTACAGATTTTGTTCCTACTGACTCAGACCAGCAGACAATGCAAGAAGAGGAAAGTTTAGAAATATCAATGAATGCAATTACTGGTTGTATTAGCCATAATACATTGAGAATTCAAGGAACAATTCAGGGCAGACCTTTGAATATTCTGATTGACAGTGGGAGTACACACAGTTTTTTGACACCTGAATGGGCTGATGCTGGAATTCAAGTTCTAACTCCCTACCCTTTAGCTATCACGGTAGCTAATGGCCAACAACTCTATAGTTCAGCTAGATGCAATAAAGTGCAGTGGCAGATGCAAGGACACTCATTCATACATGACTTTAGACTCCTTAAATTAGGAGGAAGTGATATGGTTTTAGGGGTGGACTGGATGAGATTATTTAGTCCAATTTTGATGGATTCCAATTAAATGACAATGAGTTTTGACCATCAAGGTGCAAATATTATTATACAAGGACAGCAACCTTCACTACTATTGTAGCAAATTTCAGGTGCTACTTTATTGAAAATGACAGCATCTAATGCTGCTATATTGGGGCATGTGATTCTGTTGAGTATGAATGAAACTCCTAAGTCAATTCCTACAGCTCTCAAACCTCTTTTAAAGAGGTATACCTCTATTTTTGCTGAACTTACAGGGTTACCTCCTACAAGGACTCATGATCATGCTATTCCTCTCAAACCTGGTTCTAGTCCTATTAATCTCAAAACCTACAGATTTCCTCATAACCAGAAGACAGAAGTAGAACAGCAGATTGCTAAAATGTTAGACTCCTCTATTATTCAACCTAGCAAGAGTCCCTTTACTTCACCATGCCTCTTAATTAAGAAAAAGGATGGGACTTGGAGGTTTTGTGTTGATTACAGACAATTAAACAATCTGACAGTGAAAGACAAGTTTCTTATTCCTGTGGTGGAGGATCTATTAGATGAGTTATATGGTGCAGTTTATTTTTCCAAGATTAACTTAAGGTCAGGCTATTGGCAAATCACAATTAAAGAGGAGGATATCTACAAAACAGCATTCAGAACTCATCAAGGGCATTATGAATTCAAGGTAATGCCATTTGGTCTTACTAATACCCCTGCTACATTTCAAGCATTAATGAATGATTTGTTTAAATCATTTATTAGAAAGTTTGTTTTGGTGTTTTGATGATATAGTCTACAGTAATTCTATAGAATAACATTACTCATTTGCAATTGGTTTGGAGGTTTTGAAAGCAAATCAGTTATTTGCAAAAATGTCCAAGTGTTTTTTTGGACAGACCCAAGTGGAGTACTTGGGGCATTATTTCAGCAGGAGTGGCAAGATCCTACTAAGATAGAAGCTATGAAGAATTGGCCTCTTCCTAAATCTTTAAAGTCTCTGCGTGGATTTTTGGGTTTGACTGGTTACTATAGGAGGTTTATTAAACACTATGGTTCCATAAGTAAGCCCTTGACTCAGATGCTTACTAAGGACAATTTTCATTGGTCTTCTGCAGCTTTGACTGCTTTTGAAAACTTAAAACAGGCCATGTGTGTTGCTCATGTTTTAGCTTTACCTGATTTCACTAAGAGTTTCTATTTAGAAACTGATGCTAGTTCAGGGGGTATTGGTGCTGTGTTATCTCAGGAAGGCATACCTATTGCTTATCTAAGTAAGGCTCTCAGTCCTAGACATGCTGCTCTCTCCATTTATGAAAGGGAGTATCTTGCTATTTTATTAGCAGTTTCTAAATGGAGGCATTATTTGGAGAGTAAGCCATTTATTATTAAAACTGATCATGAGCCTCTAAAGTATTTATTGGAGCATAAATTGACCACCACAATTCAGAAGAAGGGGTTGACTAAATTATTGGGGCTTGATTACTCTATTCAATACAGAAATGGTAAGTCAAATATTGTGGCAGATGCTTTGTTTAGGCAATGGGAAGATCATAGTCAACTGTTGGCTATGGGGACTACTTTGATCATTCCTAGTTGGGTGACAGAAGTTGAAGGCAGTTATAAGGATGATAAATTGGCTGCTGATTGGATCAATATATTAATTGTGAATGCTACTGCTGATCATAATTGGAAATTTTCCAAAGGAATACTAAGATTTAAAGGCATAGTTTATATTGGTCCTACTGGGTCTCTGAGGCTTCAAATTCTGCAAACATTACATGATTCCCCTCATGAGGGCCATTCAGGAATTCAAGCTACTTACCAGAGGATAAGATCATATTTTTATTGGCCTGGGCTTAAAACTATGATAGCCACTTATGTCAGATGTTGTAAAGTTTGTCAACAAACTAAGGTAGAACATGTGCCTAAACCAGGTTTGCTACAGCCCTTACCTATTCCTCACCAGGCTTGGGAGGTGGTTACTATGGATTTTATTGATGGTTTACCTACTTCATTAAAGAAAAACTGTATATTGGTGGTGGTGGATAAGTTTACAAAATACAGTCATTTTATGGCATTGTCCCACCCCTACACTATGGTTGAGGTAGCTAAGTTGTACTTAGATAATGTCTACAAGCTACATGGTCAGCCTAAACTAGTGATTTCAGATAGGGACAAGACATTCACTAGCCTCTTTTGGAGAGAACTAATGAAGCAGCTTGGCACTACTACACTATTCAGCACTGCTTACCATCCTGAGACTGATGGTCAAACAGAAAGGGTGAATCAATGCCTTGAACAGTATTTAAGAGGGCTGTGTTTTTTTTAACCAAAGCAATGGGCTAAATGGTTGCCACATGCTGAATGGTGGTACAATACTACTTATCATACAACACTAAACCTAACACCCTTTCAAGCTCTATATGGCTATAAACCTCCTACAATGGTTTGGCAGACTGAAACAACAGTACAATCTGTTGGGGAACTAATGAGTAGCAGGGAAGAGGTCAGGCAGATTGTGAAACAACAACTAGAAAATGCTGCGAACAGAATGAAACAGCAGGCAGATAAAAAGCGTTCTGAACGAAATTTTGCAATAGGGGATTGGGTTTACCTCAAACTGTAGCCGTATCGTCAAACATCCCTTACACTGAGGAGGAATCTGAAATTAGCAGCCAAATTTTACGGGCCTTACAAAATCTTAGAGAAAATTAGGGAAGTGGCATATAAACTTGACTTACCAGAAGCGTCTCGATTACACCCTATCTTCCATGTCAGTCTGTTGAAGAAGCATATTGGCACTACAGCAACAGCCTTGACAGATCCTCCTGTGATAGATAAAAATGGTCAGTTTCGCATAGAGCCAAGTAAAATCTTGGGAAGAAGAATCGTCAATCGTAATAATCGACCAGTTACTCAGTTGTTAGTGAGATGGACTAACCTCGACGAGTCGAACAATACTTGGGAGGATTACTCTGTTCTCCGCGGACAGTTTCCTTCTTTTGATCCTTGGGGACAAGGATACTCTCGAGGGGTGGGTATTGTCATGGTGGAAGGAGAATGGAGAGAAAACGAGGAAGAATTGGGGGAAGAATTGTGAATCTTAGGGATTGAGCAAGAGAAATTAAGGATTAAAGCACGTGAGAAAGGGGCTAATGATTTACCTGAAGTGGAGCAGGCTGATTCATATCATATGATGTTGGAGCCGGCCCAAGAAGAATGAAGGCAGCCCAAGTCAGCTAGTCCAGTATCTGTAGAAGAAGACAAAGCATTAGGGGTTGTTATATTTTATTAGAAAGGACAGCCAACTGGCAATCCTTTTGTTAGCATTGTAACTAAATAAATTGGCTGAGTGAATATTTTCCAGTATGTTATGAATGAACAATCACTTTCTTCTCTAAATTCTCTCTAATTTCTCTCTATTCCTATTACCTATTTCTCGTTTTCTCTTCTAAATCATCTAAAACCATAACATCATCCTAGTTCACATTTTTTGCATTTTTTGAGAAATGATTTACATTTGCCTGCTGGTAAACATTGTACTGGCCATTGTCAAATATGTCAATTGACAAAACAATTACACATTCCTTCTCCTTTATTAAATTCTAGAGCTTTTATCCTTTTGAACTAGTTCATTGTGATGTTTGGAGACCTTTTAAGCATCATACTTATTATAATCAACATTTGTTTTTAACTTTAGTAGATGATTATATTAGATCTACATGGGCTTATTTTTGAAAACATAAGTCTGATGTATGTACTATTGTTCCTAGTTTTATAAACATGCTTCAAAATCCATTCGGCTTTAATTTGAAAAATTTTAGATATGATAATGCTCCTGAACTTTAGTTTATAGGTTTGTTTTCAAAGTTGGGCATCGTTCTTCAGTTCTCATGCGCTGACACACCCCAACATAACGTAACTGTAGAAAGAAAGCATCGGCTTCTTTTAGCAGTTGCACGTGCAATTTTCTTTCAATCAAGGGTACATTTAATGTTTTTAGGGGTGAATGTATCTTAACAGCTACTCATATTATTAATCGTTTTCATTCTATCGTTTTGAATAATAATTTGCCTTATGAAATGATGCTCATATTATTAATCATTTATACACTGCAAACTCACAGGAACAAGTTTTCTGAAAGGGCTCTTCCTGGTATCTTCATTGATTATTCTCTTGGAATAAAATGATATAAGGTTAATATTTTAAAATTTTGAACCATTTTGATCTCGAGATATGTTGTGTTTCATGAAAATCTTTTTCCTTTTCATTACATTTCTCTCAAAGATTCTGTTGTTAATCCATTTTTCATCAATTTCTTTATCTATTGTTGTTATTAACAACACTTATCACATTATTGTTACTCATGGTCATATAGTAAACCATGCAGACAACTTTCCAAGAGTTACTTCTGAAAATAATGCAATTCTTGATCCTGGAATTAATGCTCAAGTTGCTTGTCAACCTATAACAAGAAGGACAACTCAAGTTACAACCAAACTATCATATCTTTGATAGTATTACTCAAATAATGATGTCACTTCTCAAAAATATTCGATCAAGAATCACCTTTCAAATTCTAGATTATCCCCTAATAGTTTTTTTGTCAAATATTTCATCTTCCTATGAGCCTACCTTTTATCATCAAACTATCTGTTTTCCAGAATGGCAGACTGTCATGGATGAAGAATTGATGTCAATGATATCAAATAAAATGTGGTCAGACATTACTCTCCTAGAAGGAAAATAAGTCATTGATTGCAAGTGGGTCTATTAAATCAAACATAAGGCTAATGGTACCATTGATATATATAAAACTCGTTTAGTAGCGAAATGGTTCATGCATGTTGAAGGCAGTGATCGTATTGATACACTTTAATCAGTTGCTAAGATGACCTCTTTCAAAGTGATAATGACTCTTGTTGTTGTGCATAATTGGCATTTGTTATTGTCGAGTCAATTGATCAAGGAAAAAGGCCAAGAGATGGGTCAATTGACAAATTAAAAAATTATTGGAAGCTTTTGAAGGAAGTAAGAAATTGATACGAGGATTTTATAGTTGTTCAACTTCCTTAATGAAGTTTACATCCACTATATTAGCTTTCCAACTAAGTATTTCAACAAATTCATTAATTTGTTCTAACATTTTTGGACAAGGTGTAACCTTACACAACACTAAGACTTATACTCCAAAGTCTTAAGTGTTCAACCCTTCCCAAGAAGTAAATACAAATGAGCAAACTTTGAATATCCTCATAAAGAAAAGTTATTTGCAAATTAAAGCGTTCACACACCCAAGAACACTAGAATGAAAAGTACAATGAAGGGAATAGTGTTCAATGAAAGAAAGACACAAAATATTATAAATTTGGCTCTATTTGCTCTTTGATTGATGGGATAGCTTTTTTGTCATTACTTGGCTGTTTGAAAACCCATTTTACGTGCTCACGTTGAATTCTAGCCATTTGTGGTTATTGGAGGGAGTTTGGAACCGTTTGAAGCATTAAATTTATGCATTAATGGCTACATGCATAGAAAGTTTTGAAACTATGGGGAAAGTTTTGAAATTCTATGAAAGATGATTAAAAATATGACCGTTCGAGTCCAAAGTTTCAAAACTTCAAGTAAAGTTTTGAAACTCTTGTGAAAGTTTCGAAACTTTTGAGAAACTTCAAAAATCCAAAGCCTATTGTCTTGCAATGTTTCGAAACTCTTATAGAAGTTTCAAAACTTCTGGTCAAAGTTTTTTTTAAAAGATAATTTTTTACATTTTGAGAAAGATATGACTTTGAAAATTGTTCTAAAATGTTTGAATGATATTTTTAACATAATTTAAACTCTAAAGACTTATTTTGAAGGTTGGAAAAATTTTAAGAACTTAATAATAATTTTACAAATATATATATATATTATGTTATATCAAATTCATTTATGTTTATCAATCTCCCTTTTTTTATATAAAAAATATTTTTGTAAAAATTTTCATAATTGAAAATTTGTCATAAATTTGTCAAATTAATATATCATTCAAAACCAATGAATTTTCATTTAACTCCCCCTTTGAAAAACAATTTAAGGCAAAAAAATTTAATAAAATTTTTTTAATAAAAAACTAATGAATAAAAAATGTTGTTGTTTTTTTTATATTTTTCTCCCCTTTTTTGTTAGATTAAAATCATTTAACTACAAAATAAAAGAGTTGATTAGAGCATAATAAGACAAGATAATAAACCAACACATAATAAGCCAAATTATATCCAAAATATCCAAGATAAGAAAAGCATAATCATAAATGATCAAAATATCCGAAATAACCAAATTATCCCAAGTATGAAATCCTAAAAATCCAAAATCATCAAAACATCCAAATACAATAATATCCAAAAATAATGCAAAGATCCTAAATGCATCATGAAATATGAAATAAGAGAACGATCAATCCACATCATCATCATCAATATCATCACCATCAATCGGATGAGAAGAAGGACGGTGAGAAGGATAAGGATTCGAGAAACGAGCCTCCAAAGCGCCAAGATGAGCATCCATGGCATCGAAGCTGTGAAAGGCATCATAGAATCTACCAACCATGTTGTCGTAAAGAAACTCCAAAGTGACGGGAGGACACAGAGGAGGTGTGTAACACCATAAACCCGAATGGGCCTAAAGTGTCACATTGGGCCATTGAGGTAACCCCTGATTTTCAAAACTTTTTATTTTCTTGTAAAACATACTATATGGTATCAACTTTAAACATAAATATCAGTTATAAAACAATTTATAAACTAGAGCTTGATAACACATAGTTTAAATCAAATAATACAAACTATTTCTCATAAATCTGAATACATGAGTAAGGTTCTATGAATACATATGCCCACTAAACTAAAATACAATACTCTGAAGGAGATGCTGGAAATCCTACTGCAACGGTTCTCCACGAACTGTTTAATCTACTAACTTGCCAACAAAAAACATATGAAGACTGAGCTTACAAAGCTCGGCAGCATAATCGCTAATGTAAAGCAGCATTAAGAGTTTCGTAAACACAAACATGTTGAAGAGATTGTACTAAAGCCACAACTACATGCACCATCTAGATCAAGTAATACCTACCCAAGGCTTAATTTTTCTATCACTGACGTAGGATGACTCACGCTTCCCTTAATCATATGCTAAGAGCTTCACCATGAGTATACCTCTAAAGGGTTACTAACCCTAATGATTATCTCTACTGTGCATTATCTAAATGTAATATTGATCCTCCTATGAACTATCTAGATTTGATACTAACTTAACTGTGAATTATATGAATGCAACATTGAACCTGATGTGACATATATTAGCTGTGGTACACATCATGATGTAGTAGAGGGACTGCATCTCGGAGCACATACCCATCTAGCCTACTATTGACACTACTATATAACACATCACAACAAACACATAAGTTTTGGAAGGCATCATGGTGTAGATTAGGTATCATGCATCTCGAATCTCACACACCCCTCTAACTTGCCTGAATACTCAAAGGTACTTTGGGTTGGGATATAGAATTTTGCATCGGAAACGTACACCCGACCAATGAGTCTTGGGGAATTTGTGCCCAGTTGGTAAGATAAGTGCCTTGGAACTGATTGGTATATACCTTGACACACTAACACATAATACAATCGTCATACTGATAAAGTAACTTGGGTGTCCTAACTGTTTCCCTAGTGTTATACACAAAGGCTAGTTTTTTGACATCCTAGTTGTTATTTCTAGTTGTTTTGAGTTATTAATGATCTCGTTTACTGGTCTCTTAGTTGTTATCTTGCATCCTTCCCTCATCTAGAACTTATGCAAGGGTTTATTAGTATGTTATTACTAATAGTATGCTCTAATCTGGTAGTTCTCTGCTTAAGGACATTTTAGCCACTTCTTTAACTTTAGAAAAGTCTCTATGCGTTTCATGACTTCACAGTGACTATTCTATTCACTATTTACTGGCTGCAATATTGGTTGTTCTGATACCTGACTCGAGTTTATTTCTGGGTAACGATATTTTATCGCTCTTACTAAGTTAACCTCAACTCGCTCTCGAATTGAAGGACAATTGTACATCCATCACTCTCTGTCATTCTTGCGGTACACAACTCTACTACTTCATTATCTGATTATTCGATCATACCCCTTGCCGATACCCATATGCAACTGAAGATTTTTTTGACGCTTTATGCCTACTATGGTTATTCTGGTTGTAAC